CTGACCACCAGGGGGCAACTCCTGTGTTGTGCATCTGCCCCCTGGTGGTCAGTGCACATCATAGGGACCAGTCGACCGGTTGTTTAGGCTTTTATATATATAGATTCATGGGCCATACAAAATAAGCAACTTAAAAATTAGCCTGCTTTATTTAGTCAAACATTTAATTAACTCACCCCTAAAACCCTCACAGGGCCAGACAAAATTATTTTGAGGACCTTATATAGCACACAGGCTGACCATTCCCCACCCCTGCCTTATAGCAATGTATTTCTTGACTCCAGAGAAGAACAGGTCTCCATATGCATTTGAGGCTCTTTCTTGACTGGCACAGTGAAGAGGTTCATCCTGACCCCTTACAAAGAGTACTTCTGCCCTGGCTGTAGAAAGGATAGCACACAGCCTGAGTATGGAGGTCTGTGGGTGTTCAGAAACCAGATTGTTATCACTCCAGCCACTTCACAGTTATTGGAGAGAGGTGCTTTTTAGCTTGGCATAAATTTGGTTTATATTACAAAGGATGCAGTGGATGAGTGAGGATCATTTAAGTTTCTTCTAGCCTAGTAAAAGCTTGGGTTGTCCTGCAAAATAGAAATGGAATAGAAAGTCTTTCTGGGTCTGTTCATTGAAAAGCATTTTTTTTGCTATCAAAGAGCAGAGCTACTAAGCAGAACTGACATTCCAAATGAATGGTGGCAATAATAGCCCATGAAACAAAATGAGGTAAAAATCTCTATTTGGACTCTATTAATTTGGAATTTATTACAATATTGAGCCAGACTTGACATAGTCTACTTTAGAAGGGGGTTACTATAAAAAAATGCAATAAAATGGGACAAAATTTCATCATCCATAGATGGTTCCCATCAATTTAGGTTCTTTTTCACCTATCTTAAGAAGTACATTTGCAAACAATTAATACAAATTTTAAGTAAATAAAAAGTAAAAAGTCATGTTCATCTATTCAGGATGTTCTCTGACAAGATTTTTTTTCTTTTCATATTTGTTAATACCCACATAGCTACCAATCATTTTAAAGTCAGGGAAAGAGTGATTTGGAGAGAATGTATCTGGTATCAATCTAGGTAAGAATGGCTGACTTTTATTGAATGTTTATATGTACCTACATTATGAAATTTAATTATCACAACAACTGTAGCAGTTGGGCACTTCCTTATTATGTTTTATTGACTAAGATGTCATATTTTAAGCAGTTAAAAGCTACTTTCCCAAGGCCAAATGGCTAATATATGGCTCATACAGGGCTTAGAAATAGGTATGCCTGGCACTGAATCATGCGCTTTTAACTTCTGACATATTGTTCCTCCATCTCTTCTTACAAAATGATTTGCATGTATAATCTATAGCACAACAGCATTAAGGCATTAACAAACCCTATTACGCAAAGATATCCTGTAGGATATACTTACTTATAGGCAACCTGGGGATGTATTGTTCATACTCTTAAACATCATGTTGTTTTGTTAATTATCAGACATTTGTTTAAGCAGGTGTGGTAGAGCCTAAAGTCCTAAAGTCGGGAAGTATATCAGTGTAGCAAGTAAAAGGCAACAAGGTGAAAGCGGGCAATACAGGAGGGAAGGGTCACTTTTAGAGTTGTTAAAATAAAACGCAAAAGTTTAATCCTACTACTATTTGCCTCCTAAGACCCTATCACCACTTTGTATGTAACATTTCTTAATTTATATACTAAAGTCATCAGTGACTGTATTCCTAAAGAAGTTATACCAAATTCCTAAAAGTTTGCTATTTCAAAATCAAATGAGAAAACCTGCTTTAGTGAGAATAGGAATAAATAAATTGTATTTCCTTAAAATAGTATAAATTCAGATATCACTAAAAAATGAATATCATTTCTTCAGTAATTGTGACTTAAATGAACTTTATGTTGTTTCTAAGTAGAGTCTGAATCTAAACTTTTTGATATAACAAATCACTGTTGAAGCATGCATTAAAAAAACATTTAGGCTTTTACAAAATAGACTGTAAAAGCCTCTAAGGGCCTCCTACTGGCTCTATTTTCAATAATTCATTAATTCATAGATTAGAGCCCACCTATAGGCTTTGATTTGATACCCTGCAGGACACAGATTATCTAAAAATTGTGAATTAATACATTAAAAATCAATCTTGGTCTAGTATACTTCTCTTTTTTTTAACTCTAAGACTTTGTTTACAGCTAAGGAAAAAATTCACAACCTCTTCTTCTTCCCAACTTTCTCACACCCTTTTAAAAATATGAAAACTAAAGAGAGAGAAGAACAGGGAGGAGAGACGGGGAGAGAGGGAGAGAGAGAGAGAGAGAGAGAGAGAGAGACTTATTTAGGCATACCTTTGTCTTACTGCATTTCACTTTATTACACTTTGCAGATATTTTATTTTTGAAAATTGAAATTTTGTAGCAACCCTGTATTGAGCAAGTCTATCAGTGCCATTTTTCCAATAGCATTTGCTCACTTTGTGCCTCCGTGTCACATTTTGGTAATTTTGGCAACATTTCAAACACTGTTCATTGTTATATTTTTATAATGCTATGTATCAGAAATTTTTGATTTACTATTTTGATTGATAGTATAATTACTTTGGTGCACCATGAACCGTGCCCATACATGATGAACTTAGTGGAAGAATGTTGTTTGCTCCACTACCTGGCTTTTTCCTGATTTCTCTTCCTCTCCTTGGGCCTCCCTATTGTCTGAGACACAACAATATTAAAATTCAGCCAATTAATAACCCTACAATGGCTTCTAAATGTTCACTGAGTATCTTACCACTTACAAATCCTTAGCTCTGGTACAAACCAATGTTGGGGTGATTGAGTGGGCATCAGTGCTCCCATGGTCCCTAACTCACAAGTACCTGAAATTTGCCAGCACAGAGACACATTTACACATGCATCACAGTTGTGGAGCTGGGAGCACACTTGCAATGGGGAACTCTGGTGAGGGAAGTCAAGATTCATTTCTCAGAGGTCATGTGTCCCATCGATTTTCCAACCAGTACTCGCCAGATCTTATATTACAGTCTTGTGCTGAAACTTTGAAATATAGCAAAAATAGATCCTGAATTGGAGCCTGATAAACAACTTGTTTTTCTAGGACCTTTTAATTACTATGTTAATAATGAAAGAAATAATTTCTTCTAGTAGCATCAAAAAAAGGAAGCAGGTCTGGGCAGTGTTTCTTAGTGGTTAGAGAGTTGGCCTGCACATCTGAGGGTTGCAGGTTTGATTCTGGTCAAGGGCATGTACCTGGGTTTTAGGTTTGATCCCAGTCCCAGTCGGGTGTGTGTGGAAGGCAACCAATAGATATGTCTCTTTCACATCCACATTTCACTCTCCCTCCCTCCCCTCTCTGTCTCTTTCCCCCTAAGGTTTACTGCATGTGACATTATTATATTTAAAATCGTTTTTCTTGGGGAAAAAACTGAAAAAAAAATTGTCACAGCCACCTCAACCTTTTTTTTTTAATATATATTTCTTTATTGCTTTCAGAGAAAAAGGAAGAGGGAGAGAGACATAGAAATATCAATGATAAGAGAGAATCACTGATCGGCTTCATTCGTGGGCCATACAGAATTATCAACTTAAAAATTAGCCTGCTATATTTAATCAAACATTTAATTAACTCACCCCTAATACCCTGGCAGGGCCTGACAAAATGTTGTTGAGGGCCTTATATAGCACACAGGCTGAACCTTCTCCACCCTGCTTCTTATGGATGAGCAAAGAAAGTTCTTGAGATCGAAATTACTTCTGGTTAAGATGCTGTAAAGATTGTTGAAATTACAACAAATGATTTAGACTATTACATTAACTGAGTTGAAAAAGCAGGACAGGATGTGAGAAGATTGAAAAGTGATCCCAATTTTGAAAGAAGTTCTGCTATGGGTAATATGCTTTCAAAGAGCATCTCATGCTACAGAGAAATCATTCATAAAAGAAAGAGCCAATTGGTGCAACAGAGTTCACTGTCACATTATATTTTAAAAATTGTTTCTATTATATTCTAGAATATTTTTTCTCTCTGGCTCTATTTTTGTTCATCAGTTTATGTTGTTCATTATATTCTACAAATGAGTGAGATCATGTGATACGTATCTTCTCCGACTGGCTTAATTTCGCTTAGCATGATGCTCTCCAGGTCCCTCCATGCTGTTGCAAATGGTAAGAGTTCCTTTGTTTTTACTGCAGTGTAGTATTCCATTGTGTAGACGTACCACAGTTTTCTAATCCACTCATCTGCTGATGGGCACTTAGGCTGTTTCCAAACCTTAGCTAGTGTAAATTGTGCTGCTATGAACATAGGGGTGCATATATCCTTTCTGATT